AAGACCAGAGAGCAAAAGGGAAGTCAGGGTACAAATCTTATCCTGGAGACCAGGACAGTGTATGGGGCAATGGAGATTGCAGGTGTGAGTGAACCCAGTCCAGGGCTTGTCTTGACTACTGAGGCAGAGGAGGATGAAGTGAGAAGTCAAAGCCAGTTGAGAGAGCTTTGAAGGATTGTTCTGCTAGTCACAAGAGAAGCCCACAATTTTCCTGGCTCCAAGTTTTATGAGGAATTTGTCTTCAGGTCCTTATATAAAAGGCATACAATTGGAACACTTCACTTTATAGTCTTATGTGGGTGCTGATGTGGGATATTTATTGGATTATTAAGGGGTAGGAAGAGAGAGTGTATGTGCGTGTGACAGAGAAAGATGTCAGAGAGAAACAGTATTTTCCCAAGGTGTTATTGCACTATGATGCTTATTAAAAAATACTCCAGATGGGCACTGGTGGCTCACACCTGTAATCCCACCTAGTAAGAAGGCTGAGATCTGAGGATTGTAGTTTGAATACAGTCCAGGCAGAAAAGTCTGTAAGACATCCTCAATTAACCACCCCAAAACCAGAAGTGGAACTGTGGCTTAAGGTGGCAGAATGCTTGAACAAAAAAGCCCAGAGGCAGTGTCTAGGACTTGAGTTCAAGCCCCATGACTGAAAAACAATAGCCTAGAGAAGACATTTAGTGTGATCTCATGGGTACTGTAGTTTCTGTTTTTTTTTTTTTTTTGTAATGGGGATGGAAATTCCCCAGATGGAAATTCTGGCTTTCTTCGGGGGGATGGAGTGTCTGTCTTCCCAGTGAAAGTTGGCATTCTATCAGCCTCCTCTTATGAATATCAAGTTGATAGGAGACAACTACCCTCTTATAGCAAGATGACAAAGAATTTAATGAACATAGCGGAGCAAATGTAAGATGCAGAGTTTAAACCCCCTTTACAAAGGGTTCCTGACATGGAGCATGGAACATGGCATGAGTCAAAGAAACATGTCAAGTGACAAGTCTGGATGACCAAGAAGATGTTGATGCTTGTGGGTTTCAATGTGGGGATACACGTTGCTATGATTTGTATGTGGCTTCCTTGTGTCAAAGGTCATGCCGAGGCTTAATTCCTTAATGTAGTGTTATTGTGGTGGCAGGGCCTTTGAAAGATATAATGGGTCAACACCCTTAGAAGTACAATGCAGCTTTGAGAGAGTTCTGGCTTTGGCAGGAACTAGATAGTACTTGGGAGCGTGAGTTGGTGTAAAGCCTAGCACCTATCCTCTGACACTCAAGATGCCACCTGCCATGCTGTCACACACACACACTGTCTTACCAGATGTGCTCACCCAATCATGAACTTCCCTAACCCCCAGAACTATGAGCTAACTAAAAAGTTTTTTTTATATAGTACCCAACTTCAGGTGTTTTGTTTCAGTGACACAAGTGTATGGAGCAATGGGGAATTGAGGTGTGAAGGTCAAGAGAGGATCTGGTGAGGTTGTACTGCTAGGAGTTAACAGAGGCCTGGTTGAAGGACAGGTAAGTGAGGACAGGGAGAGCCATGCAGAGAACTGTGAAGATGGCGGATGGGGCTCAGAATCTAACGATGATGTGGATGAGAGAAGCAAAGCTGTTGAGCTTGGCCAAGACTGGCCTGGGATACCCTGAGACCCTCATACCATGTGGCCCACAGGAGACTTTTTCCTATTTTTTCTGGCACTACTAGGTTTGAACTCCAGACCACTTGTAAGACAGGTACTCTCCTGTTGAGCCGTAACCCCAATCCCACAGAAGACCTTTCTATATGGGGCATGCTCACAAACAAGCAGATGATTTGCTGAGGGGCTGTCCAGAAGCCTCTTGGGTCTGTTGGGGTAGCACTTTGGGTCATCCAGAAGAGGGTGGCTGGTGAGCTAGGCCAGGTTGCTGGTATGGAGGACAGCTCTCTGGAGAGGATTGTGTACTAGAGAATGTTGGAGAGTACTGGGGAGCTGGCAGGAGAACACAGGGCTTGAGGGCCAGGACTTTTAAGAAAAGGGTAAAGGCGGGAGCAATTGAAGGGAAGAGGAGCAGGTGAACATTGATGGAGCAGTACAGGAGACTCATGTGGAATATCACACCTGTATGAGTCTTTCTCATATATATATATATATATATATA